TTACACACTGTAGCTTTAATGAAAATGTAAAGGTCAAAAGGTCAACCAGCCCCCCCACCTTATTCAAATTAGACGAAATTGGTGTCAAATGTTTGTGCAACAAAAACTTTCGTTTGTGCCGCTTTTATTTTAAAGATATAAAGTAATATTTCTAGAGGTCATCAAAGGTCAACCAGCCCCCCCACCTTATTCAAATCAGACGAAATAGGTGTCAATTAACTCAGCTCCATTTGTGCTGGTTTGGATTTGAAGATTTGAAGAAAGTGGGGGGGCTGGTTGACCTTTGATGACCTCTAGAAATATTTCTTTATATCTTTAAAACGAAAATTTTTGCTGCACAAACGTATGACACAATTTGTCTGATTTGAAGAAGGTGGGGGGGGCAACTTCACTCAGGTTTTGCAAATAAGTCATACACTGATGGCATTATACAGAGCTCTGAGGAATATTGTTTTAAAACCAAACCCTGCGTTAAACACCTTCACAGCTTTATCCCTAAACAGCAGCATTAATACTGAGGTTTAATAACGCTCAGATAGACTTCATTGCTAAATACTTGGTTGGTTTACCATAAAGTTCACCAAAGCTTGTGGTTGTAACGTAACAATAAATGTTTTTCTTTCAGAAGAATCCTCTCTCTTTAAAAGTTTAAGAGCCATTAAAATATTTGGGGGAAAAAACGAAACAAAAAAATTGATTAGTCAAAGTAAAATGGTTTTGTTGTCGAGTTCCAGTTGAGGTCGATGTGTCCGTCTGAGGAAAACTGGAATCAGACCAACTTGAGGATTTATAGTTCTGACTCCTGCTGTAAAGATGCTTCTCTGAGGGAAACGATATTCATTTACATTTAAACGTGTAAATTATCTTTCTTAGTGACATTTAAAACCTCAACAGTGTGGAAACATGGAACATTTGGAATTTTGTGGTTCTGTTACTTTCCTGTTGAATCCGATTATTTCCAAAATAAAACATTTCCAGATCTAACCAATTTCCTTCCTAATTCTATTTATTTATTTACAGGATGGAGATCATGATTCTCTTTCACTAAATAATCTAGAATAATCTCCCTCTGATCTTTGGCTGTGAGTTTTAGAATTTATTCTCATCAGAGTCAAAGGATAAGAGTCACTAAAAGTATTTGTAATGAGCTCCTAATTATTCATTAAGAGAATTTTCTGCCAAGTTGATTGAATAAACAAGATGAAAAGCTTTTTCAAATTTTTTCCATTTTTAAACTCCTGTTTGCACTGCAAAAACGATCTGGAAACGAGTAGAAATGTCTTAAAATTTGTGTATTTAGTATAATTCAAGCAAGTAAATAAGATTTGCCAATTGAATGAGTATTTTTACTCTTAAAATAAGATAATTAGATAAAAAACAATTGCATTGTCTTATTCCAAGTGGATATTCTTATTTTAGATGCAAATTTACTTATTCCATTGGCAAAGTGTATCACTTAACTGCTTAATTCAAGAAAGAAATGCTCTTTTTTTTAAATAAAAATAAACTTACTTAGATTTTAATTTTTTGTAGTGTGGAGGTATCCATTCCCATAAGAAGAGGAGATCATCATATCAGTCATTCTTCTGAAATATAAAATGGCAGGAACTACTGGAATATGGCAGACTGTTTGAGTAAAAACTCTTTCCTAACATGAGCTTTTCTTTCCTGCATCACTGCACTGGAAAAAAAAATTGAAATCTGGATAAGTAACTTCTTCTTAAAATAAGTGCATTTGTTCTTGAATTGAGGTAAAAGAGACATTTTGCCAATGGGACAAGACAATTTACATTTACAATAAGAAAAACACAATTGCATTGTCTTGTTTCAAGTGCATATTATGCATTATTCTTATTTTAAGAGTAAAAATACTCATTCCATTGGCAAACTATCTCATTTACCTACCCAAAATAGGAATAAATACACTTAATTTAAGAAATTTTTACTTATTTCTAGATCGTTTTTGCAGTGTGCAGTAATTGGAGATTTGCCTACAGTTTTTGGACATCTATTAAGCTGCGCTCATCAGATGATGGTTCCACTGTTTGGCCAAAACTCTAGCAAAGGCAGGAGTCTACAGCTTGCAGTTTGTGACCCTTTAAATCAGACATCATTTTTACCATAATATGCTGCCCTAGTAAAACTAAACACTTGAATAATTTACTACACTGGAAAAAAAAAAATGTAGAAATAAGCAAAATGGTCTTAAATTTAAGTATATTTACCCTTAATTTGAGCAGGTAAATTAGATAGTTTGCCAATGGAATTAGTATTTTTACTCTTAAAATAAGATTAGATAATATGCACTTGAAATAAGACAATACAATTGTGTTTTCTTATTTTAAATGTAAATTGTCTTGTTCCATTGGCAAAATGTCTTTCCTCCTCAATCCAAGAACAAATGAACTTAGAAAAAAAAAAAAAAGACTTATCTAGGTTTAGATATTTTCCAGTGTAGCTGGACTTTGTGCACTGGAAAAACGACCTAGAAATAAGTCAAAGTTACTTAAATTAAGTGTATTTACCCTTAATTTGAGTAGGTAAATGAGACAGTTTGCCAATGGAATTAGTATTTTTACTCTTAAAACAAGATAATTAGAAAACACACACTTGAAATTAGACAATACAATTGTGTTTTCTTATTTTAAGTGTAAATTGTAGGGATGCACGATATAATCGGCCCCCTATCGGTATCGGCCTTAAAACTGAATATCGGACATCGGCCACCCCACCGATATTTAACCCGATATTTGATCAGCTTCTGAGTTTCTAAAGTCTAAAAAAACAACAACAAAAAAAAAATACTACTTCTTCTTCTTCCTCAAAAACTTCTTTTTTATAGACTTAAAAACTTTTTTTTTTTTTTTTTTTTTTTT